ATCGTTAGCCGTAATAGAATCGAATTAAACTTGGGTACTGTAACCTGGGTACTGTATGGTGGGCCTGAAGCTGGGTTGTTAGGATTAGGGAATACCTAACGTCCGAAGACCCAGCTTTAGGTATAGGTATACAGGACCTGGTGCCCCTTTATGTGGTGTTATCCCTAGCACCATCCACTTGTTTGGATTTTCGGTTACCATGCTCCTCATGTATCGAGGGTTCTTCACTTGTTGTCTCACTATGCATAGACCGCGACCATAGCAACGGATTTTGCGTGTGCCTTAGCCACATTAGGGTCATTAAGTGTTGTTCTCATACGGATGGGTTAATAGGTCCTTGATCTAGCAATGTTCTCTATTATGTTCTCAGTTTTTACCTTTTTTAGCTTTTCCTAGATGTCAGTTAAGATGTTTTATTGTTTTGTTTTTCCAACGGTGGTCTTTCTTTCGACTGACTATCATACAATAAACAATAAGCAATACTATGTCTTCTTCGAAAATAATCTATGAGAATTCGGTCGTATATAATTTTCAGTAATTTCAATGGGATGACAGCATATGCTTGATTTATTTTTTGTACTCTGGTAAAGCTGTTATCACTGCGAAAGCTATTTGAAAAATTGGGTACGATCGAGTTCTCACTGACCATTTTTGAAGAAGGCATCATATTAAAGCTGTGCGTCCTTGATGCTGTGATGTTCCTGTCAATATATCCTGGTCATTCTAATTAATTACAGCAAACTTGGGAAAGGAAAGCGAGTCCCGTCTCGGAAGCGAAATGTTCCTGTGGAAAACGAGGTAGCTGACGTTTCACCGACAACGGAATCTAATGGAAAAAGAGGCGGTAGATTGAATTTTCCGCCGAGACGGCCGCGGAAAACTCACGCTTGTCCACAGTGCAATAAGATCTTCCAAAGGCCGGCGGAGGTGAAGAGGCACGCTGTAGTACATGCTGGTAAGTATTCCAACATGGGGAATAGTTGCAACTGACTGGAGGTGTAGAATTTGCGTGCTATCATAGGATTGTCCCAAGCCCTCTCCAGTTTTCAGTGGTTCGTGCTACGATTATTTCTCACGCAGTCTTCCGTATTCACGGTGCAGTTCAGCGACGGTGGGGCAGTTTGCACTTTTGCTGCCTCAATAGTTCCGTATTAGAAGTCTCACTCTTGTGTAACCGGAGAACCCTTGTGAACTGAGCGTCGCGTGCGACGTCGCGCCCGCTAGTGGTAAGAGTTCAGGTGGCAGTGGTTGAGAATAGACAATGTATGAAAATAGACATAAGTGTCTACCATGTCCTTGTCTACATGAAATCCGATGCTTCAGTCGAAAGGGTAGTGCAAATCAAGGAAACGTCGCGCCCATTGCCGCGCGCGGCGAAGCGGCGAATTACGATTCTCTTGCCCGTCTCCCCTCTCAAGATGGGCCAACACGTCGTTGGGAAGTAGCAAAAGTGGAAGATCCCCCTTCTGTCGCCGAGCTGCCCCGTGTACACTCTTACTTGGCCTCTGGAACATTTCCCACGAAATTCTTCTGCCTGAAACTCAACTTCTTCGCCATTTAGCTGGCATGTTGTTCTCAATTTCTTTTACCTTTTCCCGGTGCAGTTCGGCGACGGGGGGGGGGGCATTTTGCACTTTTGCTACTTCCCATCGACGTGTCGACCTATCTAGACAGCCTCTTCTCGAGTTGACAGGTTTTAACATGATGGCTTGACGACCTTGTTCCAGCTTCACAAGAGTTCACAGGTTTCGCCAGAGTGAGACTTGTAAACCGGAACTAAGGAAGCAGTGATAGTGCAAAGTGCCCTCCCCCCGTCGTCGATCAGTGCCCCTTTAACCTCCTTTTCTTCACTCCCCATTCATCAACCGCATTCTTTTTTCCCGTGCGTTTTTCCCGTCAGCACTACACTCCGTCATGCACTATAATTGTCCAACTTAACAAAAGCTTTCAGAAGTTCGAGAAAAATGGAAGTGTTCGCAGTGTGACAGTGAGTTCTCCCATAAGGCAGGTTTGGTCGGGCACAAGAAAGCGGTCCATGATGATCCCCTCAATGCATTTGTCACTTGTAAAATTTGTAATCAAACTTTTGCAAAGGTAAGTAAACACTGAAGTACAATATTTATGGTAAGAATTTTTTCCACCAGTTGCTTTCTAGCAATCGAATCTCAATCGTCACATCAAGAAGCAGCACCCCATACAAATCAAGAATGCAGTAGTTGATTGTCCAGAATGCAGCTGCGTGTTCGTTAGTCATGCATCGCTTACTAGGCATCGACGAATGATCCATGGCACAAGTAAGTGCTGTCCAATTTTTTGATTGTGAGTTCGTAGGCAGCATTCAGACTTTGCGTTGACGCGCAACGACGCGCGATAACGCCTTTGATGCGCTACAGTTGCAACAGCGCACCAATCCTATGGATGTGAACGCACCAGCAAATAGGGATCGATCGGTGCCGGACGCTTGTGCAGTGTGAGAGTGTGGGGAACAGGCGGGTACGCGTTGCCTAATCACGCCAGTCGCTGGGACGTAGGGAGGGTATAGAAGAGTGGCTTGATAGTACCAGTTTGTGTGAAGACAGCGCCTCTCCTCCAGTTATCTGCTGCTTTGAAAACACAAATGGCAGGCGCCCTGTCGATTCTCGTGTACAGCTTCGTTCACGTCTATAGCATTGCAATTGCAGCGCGTCGACGCGTGCCATCGCGAAGTGTGAACGCTGCCGTACGAGAAAGTGCGCGAAACATTTCAAGCGAGAAGGAATGGCGCATTAGGAAAAAACCCGACCAAGCGCTGTCATTCGTACTGAACATGTCAGAAAGGAGATATAGACAAAAAAAGGGGGGGGGGAGGGAAATGCTTATGTGTTCGCATCCCTCGATCAGCTCACTTCTGTGTCACTGAAGTTATAAGGCTTCATCACATTATTCATTTTCCCTATTTCATTTTTTATTTTCAGTGTACTTTCCTCCGTTCCGCTGCCCCACATGCAGCCGTACTTTTATCAGGGGCGCACAGTTACGACGCCATCTGCTTGTTCATAATGCCAGTGAGGCAGAAAAGCCGTTCTCATGTAACCGATGTCATAAAAGGTGAGTAACAAGATCATTGTAGTGAAAAAAGGAGACATCATATTGAATTCGATACTGGCAATTCAGATATCCATGTTGCTATCCTTTGAGTTATTTCATCTTCAAATTCGGTGTTATTTTGTGCTTATATTCATTGAGGAGGGTTTTTAAATGGAATGCTTGTTGTTAATCAACCCCTTGACTTGGACAGCACTAGTTCTCATATGAAAGACCATAATTACTCTAATGTCAGGTTCAATCTGAAGTCGACTCTAAAGCTTCATATGGACGTTCACTCGCGCAAAGATGTGGATGATCCCATTTTGACTAATCCGAAGTGTCCAGTATGCATGAAACATGTGAGTTCATCGTTGTTGTAATTATATTTCTAGGGAAGAAATGAAAATGCGACTGCAGAGGGGGGAAGGGTGGGGCTTGTCGGAAGTACGATGAAATTAGCCCCTCCGAATTCTGAGATGAGGCTGAACGTGAAGCTCCTGTCGTCTTTGCTGCTTTAGCCAAAGCCCTGGGAGAGAAACCCGCACTCCCTTTCGAAGCAGCATAGGCTCTCTAATGAAAGCGACAGCGAAGAAATTGCGATTGCAACTTGTTTAGAACAAAAACCGAGAAAAGGAAGTAATTCCATTACTCTCGTTTCCTGCGATCGAAGCTACAAGACACTTCCTACACTTCCTTCGATTTACAGAATTTGTTCAGGTCCGAGACCAGCTCTGGTCAGGGATGATCAAGCTTCCACACCCCGGACCTTGTAACTGGTACCAAGCATGTTCGGGGGGGGGGGGTAGGGGAGCTAACAACACAAACTTGGGCAACGGCTGGCTCAGACTCATTGAGTTGGTCATCATATTCAATGTATGAAACTCGACCTATCAATAGGACAACCCGGCCGTAAGAGTTTGGACTGCTTTCAGTCCTTGCTTCCTTGGAATTGTAATGACGATGAAGGAATTAAAAACCAAAGGTGCCACTGCGACCATTCCAACCAAACATTTCATAATTTGCTTCAAGTTCTCCAAGGATAGTTGAATTCAGTCGCAGTTTAAGTAAAATATAGGGTATTTGAGCCATTTCACTTAGGTAGTTAAGTTCATGTGGATAGTCTTCCACTAATAAGTTGGATTTAAATTTTTGCAACGGAAGGATTTTATTGCAGCTCTCTTCACGTAACGCTTTGAGGAAGCATATGGCTGTCCATGAACGTAACTATGAGTGTTCCGTCTGTTTCCAGGTAGATTTTTACGTTTTCCAATATGGCCTTGACCTTGACCCGACTTGTCGTCGCTGGCTTCACGATTAGCGCGAGTCGACTTTGAGCCAACCGTTCCGATCCTGTGCACGTCTTTCCACTGTTTGCCGAACATTTCAGTAACCGTTCGGCCTATCATTTTTCGGCTTTTTAGTCGTGTCCGACCCTATGGGATCTAGTTCGTTAGCCGAGGGGGCCCATCCACTGTCCTTCCAATCGCGCAACATGACCGGCCCATTCTTTTATATAGTTCCTATACTACATCATTAATTCCATTTGCGCCTTCAAAGTGCTGCGTTTGGAATATCTTATCGAAATGTTTTTGTTGATCTTGGTGCTACAGTAAGGTATCCTGCGCCGTACAACAGCGCGGCACGGATGAGTGGAATAGTGACAGCTTTAGAGTCATCGAAAAATTATCATCTAGCAGAACTGTTGGAAGAATTCTGTTGAAAGTAGACCTAGCTGCTTTTTTGCGTCTGCTGAATTCGCCTTTGTTGCTCTTTGACTAGAGTGATGTTCCGACTCTTCAGTTCTTATCCTTGCTTCTGGAGTAAACTGATTGCACCATTTTGTCTTGGAATGAATTCATCTCGAGACCGACTCTTTAGCATTTCTTCTATGAGTCGATCAGTTTACTCTGGAGTTCGAGTGCATCATGAGTGAGAATGACACAGTCATAACGAAAAGCAGGTGTGTTAATCGCTCTCAAGTGAATACCATCACTCCAATCAAGGTCTCTAGAAGAGCCTCGAGCGTTATTTCGAATAACTCTGGTAGAATCGTGTCGCGTTGGCGGATACCTTTGCTAACTTCTATATGACACGGATCGTTGAAAGGCTTGATCTCTGAAGTGCTGTTTCTGTTGACCCCCCTCATAAGATCTGTATAACTAGATTGATGTCGTATCCGCATAATGCTTTCAATATCACATTTTCTTTAAACAAATCAAATGCTTTCTTGTAATCGACGGAAGGCAGACAAGGGTATTAGGAACCCTTTACGCTTTATATGTGCAGGGTCAAATGTGAGTTATCACATCGAGAACTCGAGACCGTGCTTATGTCTCTGCATATCTGATGTCGCTGAGTCTTTGACAAGACAGTTAAGGATTATTCGTGTGAAGGTCTCATATATTAGGTTGATCCAAAGTTTCGTGACCATCTCGAACTTTTTCGAGTTAAGTTTGTATCAGTGAGAAGCAATTTTGATCAACAACATATATGTTAACTCCATCAGCAACTTGTTGCCAACCAGCAAGGCAACCACCAGGCAAATAGTGGTTGCCTTGCTTCCAGAAGCTTTTTGCTTCCCTGTCGAGAAAGGCAGCTGGGTCATCTTTGAGGTAGTTTCAAAAATCGCATTTCTTTTCCCAGAAAATGGCCGCTCAGGGATTAGTTTAGATGATGATCGGAAACAGGTAATCAGGGCTACGCGAAGACTATGGGGAATTTCCCAGCTAAGCTCCAGGATCTCGAGCTGTGTCATTTTCGAAACGCGTGACCCTGAGCTGTGGTGCTGTAGGCAAACATTGCTCGGTTGTGGGACCAAATGTGGGGATTGCAGTTGGTTACAGTAGGGTTTCGCTGGTTACCACAGCACTGAGAAGAAAAAAATTCCGTGCAAGGAGGAGAGAAAGGAACACAAAAACGCCCCACCGATATTACTCACTACCGCCCTCAACTGAAATTTGAGTAGCATTGCGCAGTTGATGCCCTTGGGGGGGGGAGGGGGATCTAGCCACTGGCGCTTCCGGGAGTGATTCACCTAGAGACACCTCCTCCATATCCAGTTGCAACGTTGTTCATCCAGTCCGTATGGCGGAAGCGGGAGAGAAGTTGTAGACAGTACCCACAAGAGCTCCCCTTGGAGTATCGGTCAACTCATGAGAAAAATTTTGACCGAACTTCAATACTTTTTTAAGGGAGCGAGGCCCTCTGTCATTTGTGCTTTTGGAACAGTCAAGTGTAAGGACTAGATAGCGAGTTGATTTGTACGAATTGGTTTTAATCAAGGAACACAGTAGGTCCAAATCCAAGGCAGGTGGCCTCCCTGGACGAAGTTTTCTCCCAGATAGAAGTCACTCAAGCGAAAGCGATCGGGCCATTTCACGCCGTACTGTGGAAGGTACCATCAGGACCTAACTCAGAGAAATGCCGCTTGTGGCTCCAACCACGTTGTGGCTTGGTGGAGATTCATATAGCGAAGTGTGTCGAAAATGATGAATTTCAATTACCGTTTTGGATATGAGAACAGCGACTGCGAGGGACGGTAAAGAAGCTGTGGGATGCTTACTTAACACACTTCCCATAGACCACATAACTGGATCTCGAAATGGCTACGGAAAGATCTGATACGAGATTCTAAAAATGGTCACGAACTTTTGGGACAACCTAATACTTTTTATCAGCAGTATTGTCTCTGATTTTTTTTCATGCTAAGGGACCGTATTTTCGCCTGAATATCTGCTGAACCGTTCCACCAGGGGCTTTGAACAGAGAGATCCCTCCTGCTTTCAGGTGTTGGGACAAATATTGTAGGTACTGGGATCTTTCTCGTCTTCATCTGCCGTACTGCATGTTCGACTTCTTCGCACATGATTCCTGGGATCAGTTCTCATACAGCGGATGGGTGAGCTTTTAGAGGAATACAAATCGTTATATAACCTCGGAGCAAATTTGGCTCATCTTCTGACCATTTCCTGTCCTTACACCAGCATCGTCATTCAAAGCCGATGGTACATGTTGTTTGTACCTTATATCCCCTTCTATTTCAGGCTTGTTCAATTTTCTGCAGCTTCAGGGAGTTTGTTCTCTCTATAGCCTAGTCTTGTTTGATCTTTTCCATCATTGCTTTCCAAAGCGTTTTGTACTCATCGTTTTGCACTTTACATTTCAAAGGGTCTCCTCTTCATCATTTGCATTAATTCTGCCAATATTCGTTGGTGACTTGCTGGTTAAGCCGCTATACTGGCAATTGTTGACAGCAACTGCCAGTTTTATAATAAGCTTTAATCAACATCAATACTTTTTTGGTGTTCTATCCGCAATTGTGATGATAATTTTATATAAGCAACACATTGGTCCATCGCATAAGCGTCTAATACTCGATTTTCACTCTTCATATCAACCGAATCCTCGAACGTCTGTGATCGGACCAGTGGTCACCACGTCTTCTCTAACGACTGAGTCGTCAATGAACAGCCTTGGTATAGCTGTCAACACATAGCCGATCTAATTCATGCTTGTCGCATGACGGATTTTTCACGACCACGGACGTTTTGCGCTCTTCTGGAAGAAAGTGTTCATAACTGAAAAGGATGCTGCTCCGGAAAAATTAGATTATTTTATCTATTTTTTTTAAATATAGACTTAGATCCTGAGCTTTGTTTTTTTTTTTTCGAATGTGAGGATCCGTTAATATTTGCTATTGAAGAAGTTCCCGACTCTCCATCGGCTGGACAAGCACCGCTGTGTCCCAATCACAGTGCTTCCAGAAGAGGTGAATGGTCAACTGACCGAACTGTCGACAACAACGAAGCGCCAGTCGCTAGGTGATGTTCGGCAGCCGTCAAAGTGAGTTGGATTCAGTTCTGCTACCTCCACGACAGCTGCACTTTACATTTATCTTTTAAAATTTCAGGAAATATCAGTGCCAATTCTGTTCCCATTCGTTCTATTCATTTCGAGCGTACAAAGAACATTGCTCACAACATCAGGGACTTCGGCCACATCTCTGTTGGACGTGCCACAAATCGTTTAGAACTAGTGGTGGGTTCCATGCTCAAAATTAGACACACGTTTAAAAAAACCGCAAGTCTCTATGGATGTTAAATGTGTTAAATGAGTCTCTCAGGGGTAAGCGCATGCCGCGGGATTCGCGAACGTATGGGTCGCATTTGACCTGCCGGTAGGGAGAGGGGTCGTATGTGCAAGTTTCAGTAAACAAAGGAGCATCGTCAGCAATTAGTGAAAGACGCCCTTGCTTTTGTACTCGCCGTTTAGTGCAGTATATCCATCGAGTTGGAAATTCATGTCAAATTATTTCATTCTAAATGAAACTATTAGGTTGGCGGGAAAGTTCTGTCATACTTTTTTGAACCCAAGTATTCGCCTATTACCTGAAGAGGGCTAACCGGTAATGTGAGCATTTATACATTAAGGATTGATCTTTCTATTAGTGTCACTGGCTCGGCTCCTGCTCATCCTTATTCTGCATTATGGACAAGAATGTTATCCGCTACCTTCAGCACCGACCCCTTCAAGCGCTTCCTTAAACTATTTCTTCTACCACCCTGGCGCCAGCATGGCAGCTGTCGACGCCGAAATAATGGAGCTGCACAAGGACAATGTCTACAGTCATCAGACAATCTTCCACGACGCTAGCTCTTCAGAGCGGGAGCCTACGGTTCGAATGACGAAGTGAGGTTCGGGAGTACCTGTAAACTCAGCTCTAGATAGCGGTGGGTCGGGAAACTACTGGATGAAGAAGCTGCCTCCTCGGTCAATCCGTACGCAAGGCAGCTACGAGATCTGAAGCGAATCGTCAAGCAGAGGGCAAAATCCATCGGCACAGTCCGTCTTCAACGTGCTGGTGCAGCACACCCCGTCAAAAAAAGTTCGAGCCGTACTTCATGCAATAGAGCTGGATGGCTCTCCCCTTGCACCGGTGTAGTCCAGACATTGCTCTTTCTGACTGCTAGTCGCCTCCCGTATTCAACCGTTATACAGCCGAGAAAACCTCCACGACTTGAGCCCAAGTCAAAGTTGAGATGATGTCCAACTTTGCGTCGCGCCGGCGTGCATTGTTAAGCGATGGCATCCACGAACTGTCCAAAAACTGGCAAGGATCTCTCAATAACATTGCTGTATAATTTTGATCTTGTACGCCTCTCTGTAAAAAGAAAGTCTAATTTGAAAAATGTGACAGAACTTTCCCGCCAACCTAATACAGTTAAAGCACCCGCTTCTGTGACCACGTCAAGGAACCCATCAGCTGGCCCAGGGGGCTGTTTAGTCCACATTAGATCCATGTTCCATGGATTTATATATCTTCATCACCCCGATTCTGAATAGGAGATGAGTGCATGGCGCATTCTATAGGGAAGCCGACAAGCGCTTCTATGTTTCACTTTTTATTTTTCATTAAAGAAGAGGTATACTGAAAGTCTTTTGAGGTCTCCTGATGAAAATGAGGGTTCTGTAATTTAAGGACTTTTTAATAGCTTTAAGCAAACTTTCGGTTTAAAATCCGTGGCGGGCGAGTTTTCGATAAACCAATGCCACAGCAGTGTTATCGTATTTTTTTGGATAGAGAAGACTTTCTGGTCCTAAAACCGTGTAGGTTTCTGCTCTACGTTATGCATGAAAAAAGTTGTGTCCATTTAAGCCGTTTGGAGATGATGTTATACTTTTTTCAAAAAGGATTGATGCTCTGTAGAAGTGCAGTGAGTGATGCAGCGCTTTGCTTTCACAACACGCAACCGAGTCGCAATATTACATCGGCCATGTAAGATGGATAGATCATTTGAAATACTCGTTTTTGGAGACGATTCTCCGCGACAAGATGCTTGACCTTGTTTACATGGATGATAAGTAAAGAGAATTAGTTAGCTGTTTTTAAGAGCTGCTCGAACTTCACAAGGAAGTGCACAATCGCGGTCCAATTTACTGTGAATACTGTCCGGCTATACTCCAAGGACGACAGCAATATACACAGCACGTGCAGGCACGACATCAACCTGAATCAGGAATCGCTAAACACATCGGAGTTGACTTAACTGACAGAGTATGTTCTCATTTTTTTCACGTTCAGTTTTCTGTGGGGTAGTAATAGTTGAATAGTGCAACTTTTGGCGCTATTCAGCTATTACTATCCTATCTTCGGAAACAGGCCAGATTTTGACCGACTTTTTTTCAGCGATTACACATTTCGCTGAAAGTTCGATTCTAGGGGTAGCTCGACCTAAACACGAATATCGCATTCGCTGGCCCGAAATTGCATGGTGCCTGCGCCACAGGCACCGGCCTAGATCACCAAATCCACCAAACTTGTATATGAGTGTTATTTGGCATACTGGTTATTAATATAACATTCATTTTTGGCACTCGAGGGCATCTGCGCTCTGCTACGGCTGAGCATGGCTTAAAGGGAATCACTCCTTCTCACGGGCTCAACCTTGGAGGAGCGCTAAATGGCGCTGGTGCCAAAAAAAAATGAATGCCATCTTCGTAATCAGGGCATCAAACAGCCCTATCAAGCATGTTTTTATGGGTTTCGATCAAAAAAGGTGTAGTGCCAAATTGGCGCCCAGTGGCGCCAAAAGGCGCCAGGGCTACAAAGGAATGTCATATTCGTGAACAGGGCATCGAATCACCACTATGAGCAAAGTTTCACAAAATTTTTTTGAGTTTTTGGGGCAGTATTGATTGAATGGCGCCCAACTTTTTTTTATTACTTGCATTCAAAAAACTCTTTGAAATTCCTTAGAGGGCTGTTTTCTCTGTTCCTAGCTTCAAACGTCCGCTGATAATTCTCCAATTGATGAATTTTTATTCGCGTCCTCCGAAGACTAATTTGTAGGTAAATGAACTGAGATTGATGCAGATGAGATATCTTGCTCCTGTAAATATGCCGCTTTAATTGAGCTATTCTATAAAATTCTTGTTTAGGCTGCAGGTGCAGTGTCAGCACAGTTCCCTGAACTCACAGGGCGTGAACTAGCTGAGAACCTATTTCGCACACGCGCCCTGTCAGTCACTCAGGATGATGTTGAGGCGACAGGTACCGTATTTGGAACTATCTATTGCGACGTTAGTATGATGCTTGAGTTGGTGCATGTTTTCCTTCAGGGGACCCAGTTGTACCAGATGATCGACCTATTCGTTGCCAAGTGTGCAGCCATCTATACGACACGATCGCATATCTGGTTAGCCACTGGATGAAGTGGGTCAATTTGAGTCTAATTACATTTGGCGTTACTCAGAGGATCTATTTTAGTGTTTATTTTACCATACATATCTTTCAGTTGTGGGTTCGATCGCGATCACTCGTTCAGTGTAATTTTTTTTTTTTTCATGCCCCTTGTGCAAGAGCTCTCTAAATGGTGTCACGGCTGGAGTTGAGCATATGAAAGAGTTGCATCCGCACATCATCACAAATATAGAGAGGCAGAAGGGTAGAATAGAGCCGATGTGAGTTGGAAAGTTCAGAACTATTTTCGCTCAAGGTTTATTATTAGTGATAATGCTAAGTAATAGGTGGTAGTGGAGGTCCTGCCTGACTCTGGGTTGCTGTCCATGCCCATGGACCAGTCAGATGGGAATGGCGCCTTTTAGTGATCTGCAGTATGACAAATTGTTCTTTTGGTGTTATTTACATGAGTGTAGGTGAACACCACTAGGTTCAGAGAGTTATTAGGGATCCCATTAGACGACCTACTTTTTCCTTTGTCTATTCTAAACACCTACAAATACATCCTGCAAAATTGAAGGATAAAGGGTAAATTTTTGGCAATCGATCAATCCCTTTTCGGGATGCGGCAAATTCTATTTCTTCCGAATATTGGATTATTGGATGCGACTGAGCCTGTATACAATGTCTTGCGGGGATTAGCCGACGAACAAGTCAGGGTTTTTTTCCTCCCAGACAAATCTGTGATTAAGTTGCGGTCTCAGAAGGTAAAAGGCTTGGTTGTCCTGGACGAGAGCCGAATCGGCATCCGATTCACTGCACGCATGGTGAACGTGCCACTTGACCTACACCACCTCTGCCCCTGCAAGATTAGCAGTCAAAATTACAGGGGGGGGAAAGACATTTCGACCGAGTCACATATCAGCAAAGTTTTCGCAGCCCAGACAGAGGACGTGGATACGAGTACCAGGGCGAAGATACCCAAGATGTTCCTCTATAAGCAGGAGCTGGCTCTCGCCCATCACCTTCATGTACACCAAAATATGAAGTCATCTCCAGTCGCAGCCTGACTGGAGAAGACCTTTGGAATTCATGTCACCTCCAAACAGCTGCGAAACTTCTAGTAGTCACCCATGGATAGCTACCTGGAGACCAGTACTCTCGATCTGGAAGACCTCCAACATCGAGCAGCTCCGACAACGTCGCTACGGTCCAGGACATCATCTTCACCTCAGTCGCCAAGGCGCCAGTTGATGGTGGGGACCGGACGTACCTGGAATGGAGAGACCGATATTTTCTTCGTGGGCCCCGGACTGAAGGTGAGCGCTGGCGGTTACATCGAGCAACTCGAGAAGAATATCCTCTCCACATGTCGTCGCCCGTACCTTCTTGGAAACTTTGTACTGCTACAGGGTGACACCACATGGAATCAAAGGGCGTTGGGAAAACTCTTGCCTACTTGGAATGGAAGGGCGTTGAGTACCTGAAGAAGGTGGAATATCTAAGCAGGTCACCTGACCTAAACCCCCTCAATTACCTGGTTCGGGCGGAGTTCAATAGGGTGGTCTACAGTGGCGGAGAAATCAACGATCTCGCTGAACTCAGGCACCCACTCACGGTCGCGTGGCAGAATCTCTCGATGGCGCTCCTCCAGAAGGCTGTGGCGGAGTATCATGATAGTATTTAATATGCTCTTTAATGGTAGTAGAATGTCCGATAAAAATTTAATAAAGTGTAACTTATAGCGGGGCCTCTAAAGTCAAGGAGAAAAAGTTTTTTTTTGGCCCTCCCCCTCACTGTATATGCATTGTTATCATAAAAAGGCTCGCGGTTCATTGCCGATATCTAACGATTACGGCTGACCGGCTCACCAAGTTAAACGTGTGAGTGCTGTAAGGCTACGGCATAAAAGCCGTTAAGCTGAGAGGGTAAAAGCGGCCCTGGTGGCGTAACGGATAGCGCACTCGCCCGGAAAGCGTGAGGTGCGGGTTCGACTCCCGCCTGGGGCACGACTTTTGCCCACAACTCAGCATTCTTGTGATAACATTCGGAACGCGTACTGCGGCGTTAAACAGCAGTTATCATAACAAAAACAGCTTCAAAATATATGCATTGTTTTCTGGAGGTACGTCGGCCATTATTCTACCATCAACCGTTGGCATTAGCGCCTCCGCTGCCTTCGGAAGTACGGCAGATTTTGGTGATTTGTCATCACTATAAAATGATGGCTCACGCAGTGCTAGACTGTTAAAACAAAATGACCCTAGTTTAGTCTGTCTTGTCGGACACACTGTCGGACTGCGATACTTGGCTGGAACAATGATGACCGTTGATCACCCTTCTACCCTTGCTTCTTGTGAAGTCTTTCGATGGAGTTCCGCACGAACTCGGCGAGTGGGATCAAGCCTTTCGTGGCACAACCGCAGAATTGCTGCTTTCGTGATCACAGAAAGTATTTGCGAACAGAGGGAGTGATAGGGAATGAAAGCATGTCACATATATAGCATAAATAGTGACAAAAGACAGTGGTTGCTGGAAGGAGAATGGGTCAAAAAGCAGTTCATGGGAAAGAAAGTTCTTATGTCCTCCGTTTGAATTGTTACAATATGCTCTACTATGGATATCAAGAAATTGCAGCGCTGTGAAGGCTATGAAGATCCCCAGCAATCCA